TAATGCATGGGAGCGATGTTGAACCCCCCAAACCCAATGGTGAAATCCCAATGTGAAAATGCATTCTCTGATCGGAAGACGACCATCCCAGTGCAATGTGGGCATGCCATACGAATTACACTATGCAAAGCGCCAGCGCGCGCGCACGCGCGCCAACGCGCGCGCATCGGCGTTCTCTAATGTACATGACAGAAAAGTTGACGCGCCCGTCGGCCTCCTTAAAGTGCCACAGAAACTTTGAGTTCATTCTTGTGAATTACATGTCCGCCTGTCTATTGTGGGCAGTACAGAACTCCTCAACGCGCGCCGACGCGCGCGCGGCGGCTGCGCGCCGTTGGCACGTTTAATGCATGGGGGCGATGTTGAGCCACCACATAAAACCAACACTAAAAAAGCCCAATGTAAACATGCATTCTCTGATCGGAAGACGGGGCCATCCCAATGTGGACATGCGATGCGAAATGCGCAATGCGGAGCGCCATCGCGCGCGCGTGCGCGCGCGTACGCGCGCGCATCGGCGTTCTGCATCACCCACGACAATAGAAAAGCCGACGCGTCCGTCGGCCTCCTATAAGAGACACAGAAATTTGAAATTCAGTTTTGGGAATTTCATGTCGGCTTTCGTATTGTGGACCATACAGAACTCCTCAACGCGCGCGCGTGTACTCGCGCGCGCACACGTCGGCTGCGCGCCACTGATGGTTTAATGCATGGGAGCGGTGTTAAACGCCCAGACAAATTGTGAAAAACCAACGTAAAAATTCATTGTCTGGTCGGAAGACGAGATCATCACAATCTGGGTATGCGATACGAGATGCACAAGGCGAAGCGCCAGCGCGCGCGCATCGGAGCTCTGTATTGCCCACAATATAAAGCCGACGCGCCCGTCGGCCTCCTTGTAGAGCAAGAGAAAAATTAAATTTAGTTTTTCACAATTTCATGTCAGCTTTTCTATTGTGGACAATGCAGACCTCCTCAACGCGCGCGCGCGTACGCGCGCGCGATCGCGGCGGCTGCGCGCCGCTAATGGTTTACTCCATAATGGGAGCGATGTTAAACCCCCAAGCCCAATGGCGAACACCCAATGTAAACATCATTCTCTGATCGGAAGATGGTATCATCCCAATGTGGGTATACGATGCGAAATACAGGGTTGGTTCAATGCACGGGAGCGATAGGTTTAACACATGGGAGCGATGCTGATATGTTACAATGCTTAATGCATGGAGGCGATGTTGCACCCCAAACGGCGAAAACCAAATGTAAACACAAACCCCTGGCCGGAAGACGGTATCATCCCAATGTGGGCATACGATGCGTCATGCATGAAAGGTTTTTCCGCACGGGGGCGAAAGGCTTAATTCATCCCAACGCACGCAACTGGTAGGTTCAACGCATGTGAGCGACGTTGAACTCTTACACCCAAAATTGAAAACCCAATGTTAAAGATCATTCAGAATGATCTTTAACATTGGGTTTTCAATTTTGGGCATGCGGTGCGAAATGCACAGTGCGACCTCGGTTTTGTCGCAGACCTCGGTTGCAGCACCGCTCGCAGTTTCCGCTCCAGAGGCAAGCCGCTGCTTGATTGCGCGCGGGGGAGACTCTGGGCCTTCGCCGAAGCCATTTTGGCCCGAGCCGATGTCCAGCCACGAGCAGTGGCTCCTGGACTTGGCTAGCAAATACGATCATGATTGCATACTCGAACTGTGCCGTTTCAAAGCCAAGCGGCTTAAGTCCAGTACTAATGCTGCAGTACTAGAGCTGCAGGGGATGCTCCGACAGTACGAGGAGGTCGACGAGGAGATCAGCCACCTCGAAAAACGTAGCCGCCGCTGCCGCGACGCCGACAAGGAGCTCGACAGGAGGCTCGAGCGGATGCGCTACTACGTGCTCTCCAACGACGTGAACAAGGAGCTGCGCAAGCAGCAGGGCCCCATCAGGGGGCGCAAGGGTGACATTCCGATAGCAGCGGCAACGTTGGCGTCGGTAGGACCCCATAGCTTTCTAGAGGACAGGCGTCATCGGCGCAATGGGGTCCTAGTCGGCGCTCGCGGTGCCTTGCCCATCGGCATCTCGCTCCTGCGCGCCTTCAGAGCATCGCAGTCGACGAGGTGGCTCCCAGGATGACTTTTCGAGAGGAACGTTTGTTCGTGGGGCGTGTTGCCGCGAAGTTGCCACGTGAACTCCGTCCCCGCATAGTGCGGTGCCTTGTCGCCGAGGCGAGGGGTTCTGGCACAGCCGCGCCAGTTACGATTTCTATCGATGATGCTGGCGGCCCTGGCGCTGCTGCTGCTGCAACTTTGGACTCGGTGCGCCTCGTGGAGGCGGCTACCCGCGAGGCTCCCTAGATGCGGCGACGGGCGTCGCGGCTTGAAGAACACCGACGGTGTTCTTGGAATGTGTTGAGTTTCCTTGAAGGCGACTCAGCGCATCGCGCTGCCATGCCGCGCCGCGCGCCACCGCATCCTGGCAGCCCCGCCCACCTGGCAGCTCGGAGAGCGGTGGGTGGCAGACCTGCCCAAGCTGCGCTGTCGAGCGATTGGCACCGCCGCGGAGAACGGCGTAGCAGAGCTTCGCATCGTGAAGGACACGCGGCCCAAGGACGCAATGATCCCCAGGGGTGGCATGATCAAGTTACCGAACGAGATGTCCAATGTTACGCCTGGCAAGATGGTGGAGCTCTGGCTCGAGATCGTCACCATCTGCGACCCGTACGATCAGATGTACTGGCAAGCTCGTTTAGCGCCCGAGCCAGAGCCAGCTGCCATGTAAATAGCATGGCGTGTGCGAAGCTAATGCCTAGAACTGTTCAGATAAATAACCCTGGGTAGATGTTAAAAGTATCCTACCACCGCAAGGCAGGTGGGGCGAAGCAAAAGGAACTCCCCATGTGCCACGAACCGTGTGAGGGGCGCGCTCAAATGGGGCGGGGCCACCATGCGAACCCTGCCGCTCGACTCAGGTAGAACCCCACATGATGCCACGAACCGTGTGAGGGGTGCGCCCAGATGCGGTGCAACCATGCGAACCCTGCCACTGGGGCATTCGGTGGAGCCCCCATGGGGCCGCGAACCGTGTGCCACGAGCCGCGTGAGGGTGTGGAGGAGGGGGAGGGGGGGCAGGAGGGGGTGGGCATGGGGCAGGAGGAGTCGGGGGAGAAGGAGGGGGAGTGGGATGAAGAGGAGGAGGAGGAACAGGAAAACGAGGAGGAGGAGAAGGAGGAGGAAGCGGAGGAGGGGGAGGACGAGGATGAGGAGGAGGAGGAGGAGGAGGAGGAGAGGAGGAGGAGGAGGAGGAGAACGAGGAGGAGGAGTTGCACCCTGCCCCCCAGGGTGCCATCATTCCCCCTGGCCCCTCGGCACACCGCCGACTCTCACGAACCGGCGCGCCTGGCCGAACTTCCAGGAGATGGGGGGGGGGGGGGGGGGCAGAACCGTCGCCAACACCACCAAGGAGGCCTCCTCCAGGCAGGGGGGAGGAGGATGGGGATGAGGAGGAAGATGAGGAGTACGATGAGCAGGGGGAGGAGGAGGGCGAGGCCGAGGACGAGGAGGATGAGGAGGGGGAGAAGGAGGAGGAGCAGGAGGAGGAGGAGGAGGAGGAGGAGCCAGGAGGGAGGCCGAGGATCGAGGATCAAGGATCGAGGATCGCTGTTGGAGGGAAGGGGCTCGGCGTAGGACAGTGGTTAAGCGCCAAATCCGCGTGGAGTGAAGGCCTCGGACATATCTCAACGTAAACCTAAAACAACAAGTAGTGCCCAACCATCCTGTGGCGTTGAGCCCTCGTCTCGAAGAGACGGTGCACCGCGTTCCTCCCTTCTCCTGTCTCCTTTTTCCCATCCTCCCTCCTCAACCTCCTCCTCCTCCTCCTCATCTGCCTCTGCCACTGCTCCCCGCGCCGTTCGCGTTGGAGCTCTCTGAGCACCGCGATGCGGCAAGAGACCGCATCAGGGCAGCAGCCGCGTGGGCCGCAGGAAAACACATGACTGAGGAGGAGGATGAGGATGAGGAGGATAAGGCGGAGGAGGGGGAGAGAGGATGAGGAGGAGGAGGAGGAGGAGGAGGCAGGTAGAAAGGCATGAACGACGAGGAGGAGGGGGAGGAAAGGAAAGGAAAGCAAGAGAAGGTAGCAGGAGGTGACAGAAGGAGGGGGAGGGGGTGAGGAGGAGGGCCCTGCCTCGGTCATCCTGCCTCCCTCCCCCCCTCCTCCCTCCTCCTCTTCCTCCCCCCCCCTCCTCCTCCCCTTCCTCCTCCCTCCTCCTCCGTTTCATCGTCCGTGCCCCCCCCCCCCATCCTCCTGCTTTGCCCCAATCCTCTCCTCTCTCCTCCCCCTCCCTCCTCCTTTCTCCTTCTCACCTTCCTCCTCAACGCCGTCTGAACGCTTCTATGGATGTCCGTTTGTCAACCTTGATCCTGCATGACCAACAGCTCGGGGACCACGTCTAAGAACTCGGGGCGGTGCAACTTCACGTTATTGTATGTGTTCTGGTCGGACAACGAAGAGAAGGCCTTCGCGATCACAGTGTTGATCCTGCGCTTGGTCAAGCCGACGTGGAAGTCAAGCGCGCCCTTGATGGTCTTACACTTCGACTTGTTCATATCGAAGAACTCGGAGAAGTGAAAGATGCCTGCGTCGATGATCTCCGCGACCTGGTTGCCGAAGTGGTTCCTCAAGACATGCGCGACGAAGTGCAGCGTGTTCTGGCACTTGTTCCGAACTTTCTTCAGCTGCTCGTTGGACTCCTTCACCGACCTCGCTGGCGCATCCGATCCACCAACGTACTGGCCAACGACGGCAGCAGGAACACCTGCAGCAGCAGCAGCACCCTGTCCTGGAGCACCTGGATCGACAGGTGGATCACCTCCACCACCAGGCGCCTGAGACTCCTCAGCCGCACCAGCCGCAGGCGCTGCACCACCAGCCGCGGGTGCAGCTCCAGACCCAGCTCCATCACCATCTCCTTCGGCTGGACCCTCGCCCTCATCGCCAGAATCGACCTCGAGAATCTTCATCGCCGACGGCGTGATCGGAACTCCGTCGAGGGACTTCCACCAACCATGTAGCATGCCAATGTACACCAACACCAACAATACTTCCATCTTTTTGCCCCTCCACTCACGGTTAGCGTTGATCCAACTAGCCGACCTGCCAATTTTTACTCTGGAGCCTTTGATCGACCAAGCAATGCTATTTTTGACCATGTTCCACACATACTCCTTGTGGTTCTCGGTGCCAATGCCGAAGTCGTCCAGCATGCCCTTCTCTGCGCAGATGTCCTGCGGCTGCTTATGCTCACTCAAATCTGTTCACCCTCATCTTCAGTCCGTCCCCCTCACCCCTCCATCTCCTCCGTCCTTATCATCCCTCCCCTCCTCCTCCTCCTCCTCCCCCTCCTCCTCCTTCCTCCTCCTCCTCCCCTCTCCTCCTCCTTTTCCTCCTGCTCCTCCCCCCTCCCCCTCCTCCTCCTGGCGGTCCTCGTGCATCATCAAGAACAATGGGCAGGATGGAGTCCGAGTGCTGAAGTACTCATGGGCGGCCTCCGAGATTTCAGTGAAGAACTTGTGGTGGCCGAAGGGGGCAGTCATCATGTTGAACACAACCGTGCGCTCGCTGATGACCGACCACAAGTCGTTCTCGATCAGCGCGCCCTTCATGTCGTTCCAGAAGCGATGCCACTTGTCCTCAATAGATGCACCGCGCACTCCGAGAAAACAATCCATCCAGTGAGTCATCGGCAAGCCGATCGAGCCCTCGTCGAAAGACTTGTGGAGACTCGGCGAGTGGAGCGAGCTACAACCTTCGGCCCAGTTCAGCTGACGTGGCAACTCCACCCGCGTCGGCCCATTGTCCTTGTTCGTGATGCAACTCCTGAACCTACTCGTGCCTGGAACCCGCCTGTCCTCTGGAAGTTCAATGATGTATCGAATCTCGTTCGCCGCTAACGGAGCCATCTTCACCTTCGGAATGAAATACTCTAATGACAATCCTGCACTTTTGAGGCCGTGGTCAATAGCGAGTGCCATTTCTCTGTTTGGAATCATCTCAGGAAGTTTACGCTTTTTCAGCTCCTTAGCGGTCATCCGATCTTTTCTATCGAGAAATCTGTCAACAGTTTCGCCCACGTACTTGATGATGTCGCTCCTGCCAGACACCGCGCCTGCAACCCTCAAGCCGCTCTTAAGCCAGTCGGGGAGAACCTGAGGCACGCCGAACAAAAATAACTCAATCCTCAACCTCCTTCTCCTCATCCTCATCCCTCCCCTTTCCCGTCTCATCACTTTCTCCTTCCTTCGCAATCCCCCCCCCCCCCCCACGGTCTTCAGGAGATCACCAGGGGGGCCACAGGCACAGGAGACCCTCAGGACGCTCTCAGAAGCTTTATTTCCAAGATCCCAGGCGCCGCCCCCAGGTGCATGTACCTCGCAGGGGCCCAAGAATCCAAGCCCCCGCAGGCCGCGCGGTACATGTGTACCCCCCGAGGACTCTGGAGGCACGCCTGCCTGTAGCAAACGCAAACGAAAGTACATAATGCACCTCGAAATCTGCGACGAAATCGCTCGAGACATTCGCCGGTACATCGATGTACCTGTGCCCTCGGGCGATGTGCTTACACCCCGCGGGGCCGGCACATATGTACCTGGCGGGGCCCCACGACGGGGCCCCGGTACATATGTACCTCTGGGAGACGAACCAGGTACATGTACCTCAGAGAGACGAATCCGGTACATGTACCTCAATCAGGGACAAACTCAGGACTCAGGGACAGAAAAGAGTAGGACGACGAGACAAAGGGCAGGGAAGAGGAACATGAAGAGGAACAACAATAGGAGAAGGATAGGGAGGAGCAGGAGGAGGAAAAGCAGGATGAGGAGTAGCGGGGGGATCAGGATCAGGAGGAGGAGCAGGAGGAGGAGCAGTGCAGGAGGACTATCGTAAGAGGATAAACGCAATCATCCACAACCAATTCCACAAGAGATAAATGCAAGAAAGGTTTACAACAAACCGAAATATGTTGAAACTAGCATGCGATGAAAGCCATAAGCTTGCAACATGCTATCTAACATGAATATATTAAGGTCTGGAGATCGTCTAGACGAGTCGATAGTGAGAAGGTGCGCAAACAATTCAAGAACAATGAGTTCAAACATTCAAATCCACTCAGATGGTTCACACTAAGATCCACTCATACTCAGACCCACTTGACGTGCATTCATACTAAGACTTGCTCTATCTCTCTCTCTCCCAGGTTCAGTCATGCCCAGACTCATACTCAGGCAGCCTATGCCAGTTCCTTTCATAAGAGCGGTGCTGGATGGAGGAGGATGGTGGTTTCAAAATTGGAGGGCGCCTGGGGTGCCAGCCATCCAGCAAGGTGTTTGCGAGAATCAACTGCAGCAATAGTAAGAGTTTCTTCCTTAGGCATTCCAACTCGCGATGCATCGAATGCTATCCCCAAGTCTTGGACCATATCGAAGCTAATCACCAGGGAAGCTTTGTAGTCAGCCATGTGTCTTGGGATCCAGTCCGCTACAGTACCATCATTAAGGCCCAGCTGAGATCGAGCATAACCCTGCGGCGTAGCGGCCATCCCCTTGCGCATCGCCGAGTGCATGACAGCACTCTTGAAGTCGTCGTCGGTCCGTCGCCTCTTCTGCTTGCTAGTGTTCATGGTCAGCGAGGCCGCGCCGATGGCCAGGGGGTCGAAGGTCCCGACGTTGTGGGTGTTGTTCTCCACGAGATCAGTCAACGTGTTCACTTCATCCTGGGCAAGAAACCATAAAGTGGAATATCAAAACGCACCGCCCCCACACGAAAACCCCTGACTCTAACCGCACCCCTTTTGAGTACATTCCGAGGCCCAAGAACTAGACCACATCCTCCAATTATGTTTCTCCATCCTCCTCCTCCTTCTGTCCTCCCCCCCCCCCCCATCTTCTCGAAGCTCGGACTCCCCTCTCTCCCGCCCCCTCCTCCTCCTCGTTCCTGCGCCGTCTGTTTCCTCCTCCTTTCACCCTCCTCTGCCACCTCCTCCCTCACGTCCCGTCCAAAAACGCCCCCAGGAGAACGCGGTGAAGCTGGCCCTACAGGATTCCTTGAACTCAAGACTATGCGCAGCCGTTGTTGTTCTGAGATTTTGACTCGAGACCCTCTCAAGGCCCCTGGTTCCCTGGATCACAAAACCAACATACCTAACAACATGGGACTTTAGCGAGGTCAGCGACACCCTGGGACACCAGCGTTTTTTCGTCGGACCAGGGCCTCGATCCAGGACAGTCGCCCTCGCTACCCGATACGAATACACGATGCCAAGAACGAAGACAAAGGACCTGAGGCAGCGGCATGCTAAACGCATGTAATGCGACCTCTGGTGCACACATAGTTTGTATGAAGTACGACCATGCGCACCTGCCATGCAATACACCAGACATGGCACGCATACATAACATTTACTACATGTACGTAACATACATACACACTGCATGGCAACACACGTGCACCACAAACATTACGTGTACATGCACATGGGACACACAAAACTCACATGCAAATGCAAGTACGGAGTAACATTGCTCTCCCCGCCACCGTGCGCAGCACACGCACGCCACGTGGTAACATGTGCACAATGTCGAACAGACAACACCATGCCACGCGATAACCCTTCAGGGGAACCATACCAGCCAAACAACAAACATTGGGCAATGTAATACTAAACAGGACACAAAACGCACAACACGCAACAACCAAAATACAGTGTTAGGCTATCTCGCGCATACTGAAGTTTTGCCCCCGATGCACTTTTGTTTCAATTGCGGTAAGCATGAAACCCTTGGGCCCGCTCAGCACCCATGCAATGCATATATTACCGAACCACCGAAATGCACATGCACGCGCCCAAGCAAAAACCGCAAACCCAACTGACACCACACGGTACACCGACCATATCACATGGAACACACAACACACGCGGCATTATCGATTACATAGCCACACGACGATGGACGATTGCAGAGAAAAAATGTTTGGAAACGAGACGACCGCGTATATACTTATATAACGTCTGTTGTGTTTGGCAACGACACGCCAACAAAAACGACTGGCAACGGTCCCAGACTGGGTGGGCATTACAACAGCGCCTTGGGCATGCCACGCACGACGGATATCTACAAACTGCAGCAAGCGACGCACATTCCTTGGACGACGGAAAATGCAAACAACGACGAAACTTGCAGTCCACGTTGCTCCACCGCGCGAAGCCACTCCACCACCCCCCCCCCGTGCCACCAACCGAAAACGGCGACCCGCAAATGAAATATCACACGCTCGTTTACAGGGTTCCTTCGTATTCTGAAAAATGTCTCGCTGTCCTGCCCACCCAAACGCACAACCGCGCGACCCCCCCCCGCCCCTCCCGCGTGCCAACCAGCGCGCGCCCGCGCGGTTTCATCATTGCGCGCCGATGCCCTGCAAAGCAATGGCGCGTGCCCAGGCGACCCAATGGCAGCGCAAATAAAAACATTGCCCTGGCGGCGGCCCCAACCATATGCAAATGCAATACCGCGGGGCAAATAAGACGAAACAAAGGGAATTCACTATAATTCCACGAGCCGTGTGAAAACGGTGCGCCAAGATGGAGCGGTGCGGCTATGCGAACCCCGCCGCTGGCCCTTCGGTGGAGCCCCATTATGGGGCCACGGGCCGCGCGATGGGGGCGCGCCCGCATGCGGGGCCGCCGTGTGAACCCTGCCATTGAAGCCTTCGTTGGATCTCACTATGGGGCCACGGACCGTGTGAGATGTGCACCCAAATTCAGGGCCACCATGCGAAAACTGCCACTGAAACACCCGATGGAGGTTCCAATGGAGCCGCGAACCGTGTGAAGGGTGCACCCTAATGCGGGGCCGCCATGCGAACCTTGCCGTCGGGGCCTTCGGTGGGGCTTCCAACGGGGCCGCGAACCGTGTGAGGGGTGCGCCCAAATGGGGCGGGGCAGCCACCCGAACCCTGCCACTCGACCCAGGTAGAACCGAGCATGGCGCCACGAAACGCGTGGGGGTCGCGCCCAAATGCGGGGCAGCCGCGCGAGCCCTACCACTGGCGCCTTCGGTGGGGCCCCCCTGGGAGCCACGAACCGTGCGAGGGGCGCGCTCAAAATGCGGTGCCGCCACGCGAACATTGCCGCTGGAACCGTCGGTGGGGCCCCCTTTGGGGCCGCGAACCGCGTGAGGGGCGTGCCCTAATGCGGTGCAGCCATGCGAACCCTGCCGCTGGAACCTCCGGTGCAGCTCCCTTTTGGGCCGCGAACACCGCGGGGGGGCGCGCCCAAATGCGGGGCCGCCATGCGAGCCCCGCCACAGGGGCCTTCGGTGAAGCTCCCTTTGGAGCCACGAACCGCGTGAAGGGCGCGCCCAACTGCGGTGCCGCCATGCGAACCCTGCCGCTGGAACCTTCGGCGGAACCCCCGATGGCGCAACGAATGGTGCGAGGGAGCGCCAACGTGGTTGAGCGGTGCGGGGGGCAGCGGCAGAGGCAGGAGCAGAGGAGGGGGAGAATGTGGGGGAGAAGGGGGTGGGGCGGTTGCTGAGGGGGGGGGGGGGGGGGGGGTGGGGGGGGGGGGGGGGGGGGGGGGGGGGGGGGGGGGGGGGGGGGGGCGGGGTGAGAGGGGCGCGGTGTCCCGCCCTTTAAACGCGGACCCAACACCACAGGACTGCAGGGGACTATTGTTGGCGCCCAAGGTCAGCAGGCCCAAGGTTAAGCTAGGGCCAGGGGTAGAAGGGTGGGGGAGGTGGGGGCAGGGGGGTGCGCGGGGGGGGAACCGCGGAATTGAGGAAATATAAAGGGCTAACTGGGAAACACATACAATGATACGGCAATGCGCAATGATATAGCTAATCGTATACCCATGGCGACGGATGGAGAACTCGCTGCATACATTAGAACAAGAGCTGCAGCGCCGCTGCGCCGCCTTGCAGAATTCAAGCCCAAGCCTCAGATAATCGCATTGTAAATTGCGACCGATGGGGGACTTGACTCGCGCGCGCGCTCCACCGCTGACATTTCGCTGCAGTTGCCGACGCAAGACAAACGGCAAGCCCAAGACAAACTACAACGCGCAGAAGATGCGAATTGGACGCAACCACGGCGCGAACCTTACCACGCACCCCCTTGGATGCGCAAACACACGCGCCACGGAATTACC